TAGTCACTCCCGCACCCCCCCCACACTCCCCCACCGCCCACCCCCGTGCTGGCATTGAAGGGGTGGCTTTTCAGGGCTGTCAATAGGGGAAGGACTCCTCACTACACCAGAGGGAGGTGGGAGAGCCAGCCTGAGGGCAGGGCAGAGCAGGGCAGGGGATTGCCTGTGGAACACTTCCACGCGTGGCCCCCTTGCCACCAACGCCCACTCCCTGGACTGGCATCTGGTGCAAGAAGAGAAAGGAGGCGGCCAGTGGCCTTGGTGGAGTTCCCTCTCTGAACTGCGGGATGCTCCTTCCTTCTTTCCCTTTCGGCTGTCCTTGGCCCCCCCCCCCTTGGTGGTACAGCCCTGCCTGAGGGCACCGCTTGCCTGAGGCCCTTGCCCAACACACCCACCCCTGAAGCTGCCCCCTGCCAAGCCCAGATGCAGCCGGGCCCAGGCTTTCGCTGTGCCTGGAACCCACGTCCTTGAAGCCCCCTTCATCTATTACTCCCTGGTGGGCACCCTTAAGGACACCCGTTCTTCTGCTGGAGAGGTGGTGCTGAGGCAATGGTGCTTTCCAACAGTTGAGGAAAACAGAGAAAGAGGAGGAGCAGAAACTGGTTGGCTGCTGGTGGCCGTGGGAGAGAGAACAGAGACCCTTGGTGGGGGCTACCCATGCCCACTCTGCCTCTTTCAAGAGGGAGTCCTGGGAAGGTGTAGCTCTTCTCGGCCCTTTGCTGACAGGGTGGAACACTCCCCCCTCCACATCTCCCTTCTGCTCCATTGTTCGGCTGGTGGCTCATTGCTCACAGATCCTCCACTTCTGTGGGTGCTATTGTTGACTGCATAAAGGGCCTGTGTTTGCCCTGGAAGGGGGGGCACTGCTCTACCAGCCTACTCATTGCAGTGGAAAGGCTGCTGGGGTCCCTCAGGCATAAAAGGGGCCATAGAAAGCCCGGGTCCCTCTGAAAGCAGTGCTGCAGCATCTGGTGCTGAGAAGGGGCAACCGAGACACCCCCATCCCAAGCATCCTACAGATCCAGGGCACTGTGACACTCTCTGGACACTACTTTGAAGCTACAATGTCAACATCTTAGCACCACATGTCAAAACACAGAGGCTGATAGACACACCCGCATACCTGCAGCTACCACCCTGAGCACACCACAAAATTTATTGTCTACTCTGCAGCCAAGCCCAATTGCATCTCCTTGGACCCAAAAGATAGACTCCAGGCTGAAGGATCTGCAAAAGCATTTTTCAGACCATCTTCAGCCCACACCTGAGGCCATTTAAGGGATTGTCACTCTCGAATTGGCCTCCTCAGCCACACTAGACGTTGTTCCAAGTCCTCCATACAGATCACGTTACCATAGTCTTTCGAGACTGAAGGATGCCTAACAAAATGATCTTCATAGAAGCACAGAATAATGAAGTTGGAAGGGGCCTATAAGGCCATCGAATCCAATCTCCTGATCAATGCAGGAATGCAGCTCAAAGAATATCTGCCAGGTGGTTGTCTAAATTTCTCTTGGAATGCCTTCAGTGTTGCAGCATTCACCGCCTCTCAAGCGCCAGGGTTCCATTGCTGTACTGCTCTAATAGTTAAAAAGTTTTTCCTGATACTCAATCAAAATCTGTCTTCCTGTAACTTGAGCCCATTGTTGCACATCCTGCACTCTGGGATGATTGAGAACAGATCCTGCCCCTCCTCTGTATGACAGCCTTTCAGATATTTGAAAAGAGCTATCACACACACACACACACACAGACAGCGCCCTCTTCTTTTCTCAAGGCTAAACATGCCCAGTTCCTTCACTCTTTACTCACAGGGCTTGATTTCAACCCATCCTTGACTAGAATACTTCACATTCCCAAATCCTTGGTGGCAGATCTATACTTGCTTACAGAGAGCACACAACCCCCCTGCACAATCTCAAGCAACTATTGACCCACAGTAGACTACCCAACACTGATAAGGAGCTAAACCTTGCTATAAACCCAGTTGCCAGTTCTGTTCCCACTTCTGCTCTGTCAGCACAATTACAGGACCCAACAACATCATTTACAAAATCAGGTGTACATTTATTCTTTCTTTTGGTAAGGTGATCCATGCCATCTTTCACCAACCATGCCCTTCTGCTCTCTGCATCAGATGAACAGGACAATCTCTGAGCAAGAGATATTTTTGTTTTCTGATACACTGACTCATTTCTTGCCCTTCTCTGGGTGGTCTGTCAGTTCAGAGCCCTGTTCCTAGATGCACACTGTTCCTGGACCCCTACCCTGCTTGTTTTAGGTAGCTTTATCAGTGCCAATAGTGTTTCTGTCCTTTGGTGCATTCAACTGCCCAACTTCTAACCCCTTCCTGACTCTAACCTGTTTGAGTTGGGTGAGGGTAGGAGTAACAGGCCAAAAGCAAGGTAAGAGAGAAAAGGTGAAGAAAGGCGGGCAGCTGCTGCCTGTCGCTCAAGGAGGTGGTGCTGGGTCTGCCTTTTGAAGGCAGAGGCTTATGAATCGGGAGTGGGAGAGATCTACGGCTCCCTTTGCAGGTAGGAAAGCAAAGGAGCCAGTGAGGTGCATGGAGCACAGTCTCAGTGGACTGATAGATATGGGGAGAAGGGGAAGGTGCGCCGCAAGAGGAGAGCCTGCCGGACATCCCCTGTGGGGAAGCTCTCACTGGCGGTCACTCAGGGCAGAGAGAAGCCCTTGTGAGGGTGGTGGGTCCCCTTCCTAAGGATGGTCTTCAGACCTATCCAGAGGGCCTTGGTGCCTGATGAGGACCACCACAGAAGAGTCACAACCAGGCCTCTAACCAATCTGTGTGGAGGGTGGTTAATGCACCACGGAACTCTGCACCTTGGCCAAAATAAACTTGGTTTAATGAGCATTCTCTTCCACTTTGCATGCTTCGTTAAGAATGCATGATGGCACATGACACACAAGAAACCCCAAGCACTTTTTATTCCCCTGATGTGTATAAATACTTCTGTAGTTCCATCATCTTTACACTAATGGCAAAAGACTCTTGACAGAGAGAGAGAGAGAGAGAGAGATGTTTTCTTGTCTTCCTGGGTGTCTCTGCCAGGCTGGAAGGCTCACAGCACCCTCTCCTGACCACCACTGGAATGGGGCTTGGCAGTTCAGCTCCCCTCGCTTGAGAAATACTCCAAGCTGGGGGGCTCGTGGGGGAGGGAAGGAGCCCAGCCCTGGTCTTGGGCTGAACAGGGATGCAGTTTAGCCCACCTGGAAGGCACCTCAGTTGAGGCAGGCTGGCCTAGATGGCTTGCTTGACCCCTCTGCACTCGCATTGGGAGGACAAGCTACCTTTGGCGGTCATCCTGCAAAAGCTCTCTTGCTGCCTCCACACGTCTGAGGCCTCCAAAATCTTCAGCAAATGATGGTCAGACCAGAAGACCAGGTTGCATCTGTAGGGAGCAGGATAATGCCCAATGGAGGGGTGGGCTACAGAAGTTACCTGGAGGAAGCATGGAGACCCCCACTTGAGTCAAAGGAGAGGTGGGGCTCAGACAGGTGTTCCAGATGTGTTTCAGCCTGGTAGATTTGTGTTTTGTGGAAAGGGTGGAACTTGTGGGTTAGAATCAGGAGATGTGAAGTTCCTGGTCCTTGGGCAAAAGCCTAGTTGGGCAGAAATCCTTTAGAAGTCCACCCTCTGGCCAAACCCCACCCCCCCATCCCTGTTATTTTTCTCCAAAGGAATGTTTATGGTCCAGTAGGAATGCAGGATGGCCACCCGGGAGTCTGTCTGTTCCTAGCGCATGTCTTGTTGCTATGCTAAAAGGCACCTGGAAACCCCTGTGCCAAGGAGAAAGGCCCCACACCATGCCCCCAGCATCTCCAGCTAAGACAGGATAGATCCCCATCTGGTTCCCTGGAGAGTCACTGGCACTGAGTGCAAATAACGCTATGTTCATTTAGATGCAACAAACCTTAAATGCGTTTGCATCTCCCAGATACTCGCCAGCTGATTCCTTTCAAATCAAAGAGACCACCGTGCCCTCTTCCTCTCTAAGGGGGCTTTCCAAAAGGTACCCTAATTGCAGAAGGAGCCCCTCCAGCTCCCATACCCACACAGGATCCTGGAAAACACCCCAAGAGCCGTGCAGGGTCAGATTCAAGCAGAAACTGCTGGATAGCTCAGGGGTCTCAAGTTCCGGAGTTCACTTCCCCACTGGGCCTGCTTGATAAGAGGACCCCTTCTCGTGCTGCCATTCTAAGATTACCGAGCATCTTCTTTTCCCCAGAAGCCAACCCCACACCTCAGGAGGAAGCCCCCAGGCCAGCCAGAAGGGCAGCAGCTTCTCTCCTGGTTTATGTTCCCCAGCAACCAGCAGGCACCTTCAACAGCTGGCGAGCCCTGCTAGCACAGAAAGGAGAGCATGCCTGCACACAAGCGCGTGCACACCCCAAAGTCCAGAACAGGGTTAAGAGGGAAGGGACGGGATCAGGGGGAGGGGCAGGAGGAAGGGGGGGCTGTCCCTTTAAGCGGGTTGGCTGTCCATGGTAGAGCCTTTCCTTTGCTGGAGGACAGGACCAGGCAGATATAGCCAGAGGGAAGCAGAGGGACAGTGAAGAGGCAGCCAAGGGCCAGCAGCCAACCGGGGATTGCTCTGGCAGACGAGAGGCGGGGACAGACCCGACAGACAGTCGCTCTTGACTTGCATCCCAAAGCCATGGGTGAGTAGCTAAGCCAAAGGGGTCTCTCGCTCGCTCGCTCCTCCCCGCCCGCCACCGCCACCCCCAGGAAAAGGCACCCTCCAGCAGTCCGTGCTTCTCCTTGTTCCCCCTCTCTCACTTCCTGGAAGAGGCTGCGGGTTGGAAGGGAGTTTTGACCAGTTTGTTGCCACGTGTTGGAGTTGCTGGGTGAGAAGGCAAAGGGTGGGGTCCAGAGGCTGATCTGGTCATGGCAGCAGCCAGTGAATGGGGGGCTTGTCTGAGGCGGTGGCCCCTGACACCTCCACCAACGGCTCCTGCTGCTGAGCTGATGCCCATGTTCTCTCATGGCCCATGGAAAGCGGAGGTCCCTTCTGCACTTGGCCTCCCGTGGGAGGTCTTCAGATACCTGGACGAGAACAGGTGCCTCTCCAGTGGGGGATGTTCTGGCATGAGGAAGGCTAAGGCAAGACCTGCGGCACTTCAGGGCCCACGTCCTGGAGCGCACCTGCCACGGACTGAGGGGGATGCAGGAGGAGGGGAGGGGGAGTGAAGCAACAGGACAACTGGCTTTTCTACAGAAAGAACAGAAACTGAATATCTGAGTGTGATTGTCTGTCTGTGTGTGTGTTCCTGTGCGTGCGTGCGCGCATGTGGTTTGGTGGGAGAGAGGTGTGTGTTGATGGTTTGCCATGCCCACTGAGACCGCCGCTTCAGGATAGTGGCTTTCAGATTCTGAGGGCTGTTGAGATCCCCTGAGTGGCCCAGAGACTTTGTCTGGGCCAGAAACGGCTGGAGGAGACAAGAAGAACACGACTCGCTATTCAGGCCACCCCCCTCCCTCCGAAAGCCGAGCACCCTCTCCTCCTGTGCCACGCCTAGACCCGCTGGGTGAGCTTTCTGGTCCAGGAGACCAAGGGGCACGGGATCTTAAAAAGGAAAGAGAAGATCTTGGATCACACGCAGCTCCCCTAATTTGGTCTTTTAAGGATCGGCATAGAGGAGGACTCTTTGGGGCTCAGCCAATCTACAGCTATGGACAATGCAGCCCACCCCCCTCCTGAATCCTAAATTCATTTATTCAGATATGTACAAACAGGCACACTGTGTTGGAGTGCCACAGGCTAACAAAACTGCACCACCACCCCCAATCAAATCCCTGTAGGTCCCCTTCTGGTACATGCATTAGTGTGTGTGTGTGTGTGTGTGTGTGTGTGTGTGTGTGTGTGTGTGTGTGCATGCCTGCGTGCAGGCATGCATGCATGTGCACACACACATTCATATATATATACACACCCACACCTGCACAGAGGAGTACCCTTGGCAGGGGTGCTTCTGGTGGGAGCACTTGGGTAGAATACACATGTCTCAAACTCTTTGCCACTTTTCCATTTTACTTCAGGAAGAACCAGGGCTCCTGAGTGGGCATTTCAGCCCAGCCTGGGTCAAGTCTATAGTCAGTGATGCTCTGAAAAAGTGTCAGGGGAGAGTCCGGGGAAGGGGTCCCTCTGGGAGGGGTCTTTCATCCAAAGGGGGGGCTGGAGCACAGCTCTGGGGCCTTGGTCATCAAAATGATCTTCAGCCTTCAGAGCCATTCTGTTGAGGCCAAACACATCTGTCCACCTGTGGCAGAACCCACATCTCCAGCCAAAAGAGTGGCAGCTTCTAAGATCCACATCTCCTGGTCATCCCTCTGACTGAGGGGTTCCATGAATGTTGCTCCTCTCTGCGTTCCTTTATAACCACAAAAAGGTTTCTCAAATTTAGATTTTGGTGTATCCCCTATTAGGTGCCTGTAACCCACCTTCCAGTTAAATTTTTCCTTTGTGGCTCCCATTTAAAATAGCCTTGCTAAAGGAAGCACTCTAAAAGATGGGGGGGAAGCAGGGTTTTTTTTCTGTGCCCCAGGATTGTGGGTGGGTGGGGAGAGCAACCGAGCTACAGCTGCAGCAGCCAACAGTTCATATCAGCCATGCTAGTCACTGGGGGGGGGAGGTATGGGAGGGGGAGGGAGGCTCACAGCAGAAAAATGTCCCTTTGTTTTCCTGCTTATTCCCTCCTCAGCCCCCCTCCCCACAGCCTCTGCAAAGAAAGCTTGTTTCGTTTCTGGGCTTCCACTTTTACACCACCATCACCCCATCCCATCCTCTGTGGTGGAAGTTAAGTCCAAGGCTGTAGCACATTTGCTGTTTCCTTGGCAACCAGACAGCGAAGCCTCACTCTGAGAGGATGCTCAGACTCACTCCCAGAGGGCTGGAGGAACCCACTGAGTGTCTGGGAAGAAAAGCACGAGAGAGACAGGGGTCAGGGGGTGCAAAGGACTCAGACCTGCCCGGTGTGCCCAGTGAGGGGGCCACTTAGGACACCTTGCAGTCATGAGCTTCTTCCTTCCAAATTTTTTTAAAAAAATCATAAAATCAGAGAAAAGGGGGCTGGAAAGTGTCTATCAGGTCATGGAGTCCAACCCCCTGCTCAAGGCAGGAATCCAAATCAAAGCAGATCTCACAGACGGTTGTCCAATCTTCTTTTGAAGGCCTCCAGTGCTGGAGCGCTCTCCACCTCCTGAGGTCAGTGGTTGCATTGTCATACTGCCCTAACAGTTAGGAAGTGTTTTCTGATATTCAGCTGAAATTTGGCTTCCTGTAGCTTGAGCCCATTATTATGTGTCCTGCACTCTGATCAAGAACAGATCCTGCCCCTCTTCTGTACGACTACCTCTCTAGTATTTGAAAAGTGCTATCCTATCTCTCCCTCACCACCAAAGCTAAACATGTCCAGTTCTTTCAGTCTTTACTCATAGGATGACTGCTTTATGATCTGCTCCAGAATTTTTCATGGGATTGATGTCAGGCTGACTGGCCTGCAGTTCCCAGGTTCCTCCTTCATGCCCTTTTTGAAGATAGGGACAAAATTAGCCCTCCTCCAATCATCAGGTACTTCGCCCATCCTCCATGATTTCAAGAAAATAATAGACAGTGGTTCTGAAACCTCTTCAGCCAGTTTCTTCAATATTCTTGCATCCAGTTCATCTGGCCCTGGGAATCTGAACTCATTCAAAGTAATAGGGGATTCCTTAACTATCCGTCCATCGATCTCAAGCTGCAATCCTGTCCCTTCCCTTTGTACTTCAAATTTGCCTGAGCAGCATAGACTATCTTTTGGGAAAAGATGGAGCTGAAGCAGGAATTAAGCACTTCTGCCTTTTGTTTGTCATCTGTTATCATTTTCCTGTCTCCATTGAGTAGCCGAGCCACTGTTTCTTTTCTCTGTCTTTTGCTACACACATACCTGAAAAATGCTTCTTTGTTGCTTTTAGTGTCTCTAGCTAGCCTCAGCTCATTCCCAGCCTTTGTCTTCCTAATGCCATTCCTGCAGTTCTCTGCTACATGTGTGTAATCTTCCTTTGTGGCCTGGCCTACCTTCCACTTCCTATATAGGTCCTTTTTTGTTATCTGGTTCTCTCTGAGCTTTTCGTGAAGCCACATCAGTCTTTTTTGCTGTCTTCCACCTTTTCATTCCTTTCGGAAATATTCGTAATTCAGCTTTTAGATTTCCGTTTAAAGAAAATCCCACCCATCTTGGACTCCTTTTCCTGTGAGGCTCTCCTGCTATGGGACCTTTCTTATTATTGTTCTGAGTTTATTAACATTGGCTTTCCTGAAATCTGTGACTCAGCAGGCAGCCCTTCTCTCTCTGAGCTCCCCTGGCAGGGGTAAGCCTCCTATTTGGGCAGGGGGGGGACCCCACTACATCACCAGGCTTCTCCAAACTAGGGAGCTGGGAGGACGCTGTTCACGGAGGTCGTGCAAAAAGAGGTGCCGGGGTGACAAGCAGGTGTGTTGCTCTTTCTGTCGTTGTCCTGCTCACCCTCGTGGGCATGAGCTGCCTTTGGGCACGGTGGAATATTTACAGAACACAAATACCTTTTTCTTAGGAAACAGCCTCCCTTGGGAAGGAGAAGGTGTGTCCACCAAGACCTGCTCCTTTTGGAGCTGGCATAGGGACCCACTGGTTGCCCAGAGCCTCCCTTCTGGCCATCCTGTCTAGAGGCTGTGTGAGGTCCTTGGGGAGGGGGGCCCCAGAGGGTCCAGTACAGCCATGACCTCCCTTCCCTTCCCTTTTCTCCTCTATGCTGTTTAAAAAGCCAGCCCCAGTTGCTTAGGAAGGGGCTTAAATTGTAGCCCCCTCAATAAACCTGCTGTTGTGGGAAAGCAGGATCTGGAGGGGGCTTCCAGCTCCGTCCCTCCCCTGCCTCCCCTCCCCCACTGGTACTATGTTGGTCTCCTCTCTGCGTCCCTCCCCCTCACCTCCCCAGTACCAGCCAGAGCTGCTCTTGGCTTCCCCAGGCCTCCCTGTCAACAGGAACACTGTTTTTGGGGGTGGGGGTGGGGGAGGAGGCTTGAGCCCTGAAAAGGCAGAGAGCCAAGTTCAGTCAAGAATGCATCTCATCTTATTTGTCTTGCACCCATTGTTCTGCCTCCCAGCACAAGGGCTGGGATTGTCTGCAGACAACAGGCTCATTCTTTCCTCTCCTTCACCAAAGGTCCAGTTCTCCCTCCTCCTCCCCCTCCCCCTCCTCCTCCTCCTGCACCCCAGACTCTTGCTGCCTCTCAGCTGCCATGGATCTATGTCCCAGAGGCCCTGGCCGCCAGCAAGGAATGTCAACTCCCAGGCCAAGAGAAAAATCATCTTTGAGGAGATGTGCCTTCTATGTGCACAAGCCAGTTTGCACCAGCCCTGGAAAGGGCTCTTGATGGGGGACGTCCAGAAAACCAGTCAGTGACAGGCAGTTATGAGGCCAAGAGGAACATTCACATCACAACTGGTGTGATCCTCTCTCTGCATGGGGAGGGTTGGGACTCATGCCTTACAGACCGGCCACTCCTGGCACCCCCTATCCCAAAGGTCGAGTGGCCACCTGAGCTCATTTAGTGAGGACAGCCCTCCAAGGTAGGCACATGTGGGGGGGGAGGGGAATCCTCCATTTGGAATTGCATTCCATTTGAAGGGTTCTCCAGCCCAAGTCAGATTTAAAACTAAAAAGCACGAGGAGGGAGATCAGGGACCTGGACATTGCCCATCACCCACAGGTTTAGCAAGTACCTGGGTCACCTGGCCTCATTTCCCCCTCCCCAAAGTTTTTATGCCACGGTGAGGAAAATAGGGCTCCTCAAAGGGAGAGGACATGGGCATGGTTGGCTATGGGGAGGAGGGCTGGGGGGGGCACTGCCATTCACAGCATTTTGTCCTCCAGTTAAGATTACTAATTCATTTCTAATTCTGCATCTGTACCTACAAAGCAGCACATGCAACCTCTAAGCCCAGCAGCACTCCTGCTTTCTCTTTGAGTGGTGAGCCTCAAGAGTGTGAGACCAGGCCTGCCTCCTGGCCTGGAGGGCTCACTCAGAGCCCGAGGAAGGAGCGCTGGTTCAGAGGGGTCACTGGCCAGAGGCAGCGTCAGGCAGCTTCGTGGGCACGTTGCAGCGATGGGCCTTCAAGGCTCGGCCAGGCTGCTCCTCCATTCTGTCCTTGGGGTCGAGGTTAGGTGGGATGGAGGCCCCTTGGGATGGTCTGTGTTCCCAGGCGAGGACATCAAGGGAATGTCCGTGATTGCCAAGGGGCTGAACCCTGTGTCCTTGGAGACCCGAGGTGTGTCTGTCTTGCACCCCTGGCAGATGCTCTAGGGTGGCTGAATGAGCGGGAAGGAGAGAGTGGGCTGCCCTGCTCCAGCCCCAGTGGCGTTAGGTGGGATGGAGGCCCCTTGGGATGGTCTGTGTTCCCAGGCGAGGACATCAAGGGAATGTCCGTGATTGCCAAGGGGCTGAACCCTGTGTCCTTGGAGACCCGAGGTGTGTCTGTCTTGCACCCCTGGCAGATGCTCTAGGGTGGCTGAATGAGCGGGAAGGAGAGAGTGGGCTGCCCTGCTCCAGCCCCAGTGGCAGCTGGTTCCA